GCAACGCGTAAAAAGACAGTAAGTCATTATAATCCGTAATTATGTCCTCACTGGATGCAACAAATGCCTCGTTTGTAATGGGTTTTAATGTTTATGTCTCGTCGCTCCGGCCGGACACTGCATCAACAGTATGTGAGGGGCGTAACATTTCCGTCTCACGCTTGAGGTATTCGGCCAATCACAACGCACTGGATAGCTGGCCAATCAGAGCACACCTCACTTTTTCAGACCGATGAGTTTTGTAAAATTCGACGCGTTTCAAAAAGGCGGGGCATAGAGGAGAAACAATAATGTACAGTATGTGGAAAATAATGTTTTTTTTTTACTTTAAACCGCTTAAACACATTCATTGCACCAAATACACAAAATAATGTTCTTTTTAGCAGCATCATATGACCCCTTTAATGTAATAACTAAAACGATTTATTTATTTTATTTTAAATAAAGCTGAAATAAAATACAAGATAAATATTTCATAAAAATCCCAAACCACAAAAAAGTTATTTCAGTAAGTAACATTGCTCATTTTCGTTTGGTTGTAGTTCCGGCACTAAAATTACTGATAAAATAAAATAATAAACCTAATGAAAACAATATTTAAAAAAAACTTTTAATAATTTTAACATTTAATCAAATCCATAACGCATAAAAACTAACAAAATATTAATAAAAACTATAAAAAATCTAAAACTATAAAATGGCATAAATAAACAATATTAAAATAATACTTTCTGTAGGTGAGAGGACTGAGTTTTGTTTTTATTATTTTAAAACTATTTTTATCATGTATTTCCAGGAGCAGCCTCCATAATCAACATTTTTGCCATTTTGTTAGGTATTATGGTGCAGAAATTAGACACATTTCTCCTCAAAAAAACAAAAAACAACAAAAAAAACGTATTGTTCTAGCTCAGTAAAACAGTCCTTCCCTTAAGGCACCTTTTGGGGACAAGTCAGATCTTCATAATTTAAGATTTACTGAGATTTAACCAATAACATTTATTTCCTCTTCCCTGTTCCTTAATCTCTAAGCTATAATAGTCCAGTTTGTTTTATCAATGAGAACAGATCATTTCAATGGGACAATAGTAATGACATGCAAGTGGTGACAAAATTTTGTTTATTCAATAAATAAACACAGAGGCACTTACAGATAACATGAATATTTAAACCATTTGATAAATTATGGCCATCTAGTCTAGCGAACATTTGGAATGATGCAAACATTCCTGTACAACCTCTCTAATTAATATATCAGAACAGTGCAGCTTCACGTAGCTTTATATCAAGTTTTACTGTTAAGCAGGAAAGTAGGCTACAAAAACTAGTCAAATCTAGATATACATACACAAAAGAAACGCATTATATCATTTTAAATACACCATAAAAAAAGTGTAGTTTCAGAGTATTTCATGTTTTTAACTGCACTGAGACACAGATGAGGCTCAGGAACTTGCATGATAAATAAATACTGAAGTGTTTTGATGCACGCACATTTCTTTTGATGATGTTTGGATGATCCTGCATGCTGCATTTGTCCCTATATAAAGGAACGCATCCTCTAAAGTCAGTGTTTTTGTGTCTTGTGGATCAGTCTGATCCCTCTTCCTGGTTCTGCAGAATGGGATCTGTATGGAAAAAGAAATGGTTAGATCGCTTACACTACCTGTTAGCCTTCTAAAGAACTTACCAGACTTGGTCAACTAGTTAACATCATTCATTACCGATGTTGGGTAAGTTACTCAAAAAATGTTATCCACTACAAATTACTAATTACTTCTTTAAAATTGTAATTTGATTACATTACTGATTACTGCATTTAAAAAGTAATCAGATTACTAATTACTTTACTTTTCAAGTTATCAAACCTAAAAAAATAGGCTACACTACAAAGTGAAACTCATAGATCTTTCATTAATTTAATATCGACTGAAAAATGACAAGTATTATTTGTATACACTCAATATCAACAAAACTTTTTTTTTTTTGGTTTTGTAAAATAAAGGAAACAAATAGGGTGCGCTTTTTGCATTCTCAGTCTCCGTGAATATCTTCCTGAAACGAATCACTAAAATGAACGAATATGACATGAGAAATATATCTAAAGAAGTGTCTATTTTTAAATGAAGTCAGTCATGTCGAAAACAAATATTCTCTGATAAAATAATCCGTATGAAACCAACGCGAGATAGCCTACCGTCTTTCTCGTCTGAGCTCACCTATAATGTGATCATGAAGGCGCGGAATGTGAGGAATAAGCCTTGAATTTACCTCAGAAGAAGAATGCGATGCGACGCGGCTTAATCCAGCGGAGGATCTCATTCTGATGAG